CGAGGGGATGAGGGGGCTGGGGGGGGTCAGGCAGCAGCGAGGGGGGGGCCCTCCCTGGTTGCTCGGGCACTGGAATTACTTTAATTTCTCGTTTTAGCTTTAAAATGTTCTTGCGGGGGGGATAAAGCTGAGCTAAAATGTAGGGTCTGGGGGTGTCCGGGGGGGGCGGAAGGCGGGAAGGAGATGCAGGAGTTCCCTCTCGGGCTGTAAACGCCGGAAGGATCCGACTGTACCGCGAATCCAACAAAAAAAAAACAAGTGTATTTTTGTATTTTAATAAATATTGTTCCAAATTTGTAACGCTGAGTGCCCGAGGGGTTAAACGGGGGCGCTCGGGGGGGGCCGCGGGGGGCCCCCCCTCCCCGACAGCCTGAAAGGGGTTTTTTGTCCTCTCAGCAGGAAAAGCTTTGGAAAAATCGCGGAGCGGGAAAGGGAGATGGAGGGAGAGGATGGAGGAGGGGAGGGGGAGAGGAGAACTGGGGGTGACAAGAACTCTGTGGGACCCCGGAATGGGGCTGGGGGGGTTGGGGGTCACCCCCCAGCCTGGGGGTTCCCGGCTGGAATTGGGATTGGAGGGAGGGAGGAGGGATAGGGATCAATTAGGGGCGTTGCCCCTGCCCGGGAGGGACAGGGGGACAGTGGGACCCCCCCTCTGAGGGGACAGCGGGATCCCCCTTTCTGTGGAACGGGGACACTTTGAGGGGACACCAGGAGCCTCAGCTGTGTGGGGACAGTGGGACATCCAGCCTGGACACCAGGTGCCACCCTCAGGACACGGGGTGTGCTGGGCGCTGGTGGTGGGGACACAGGGACACAGGGACAGGGACACAGAGTGTCCCTGTGGCAGTGGGGACACAGGGACCCTGGATGGCACCAGTGTCCCCAAGGTGCCACCTCCACCCCAGTGCCAGGGGCAGTGCCACCACCCCCGTGCCACCACCACACCCGGGGGGCTGAGCCCCCCCCCCAGTCACCACGGAGCTGTCAGGGTTCAGTGTTGGGATTTGGGGGATTTTTAGGATTTTTGCTATTTTTGGCGGATCCGGGTCAGTTTTTCCCAAAACCATATTCCTGCTTTTCCCTTTATTCCTGAATTTTCCCACCCAGGCCAATCTGGGAATGCCAACACCTCCTGCTCATCCTGGGGGATGAACTCCCCCTCCTCCCTGTGCAGGGGACAGACAGGAGTGATCCCAAAAATCCTGGGAATGCCACAGGGACAGGGACAGGGACAGGGACACAGGGACACAGGGACAGGGACACAGGGACAAGGGACAGAGGGACAAGGGACACAGGGACAGGGACACAGGGACACAGGGACAGGGACACGGAGTGTCCCTGTGGCAGTGGGGACACAGGGACCCTGGATGGCACCAGTGTCCCCAAGGTGCCACCTCCACCCCAGTGCCAGGGGCAGTGCCACCACCCCCGTGCCACCACCACACCCGGGGGGCTGAGCCCCCCCCCAGTTACCACGGAGCTGTCAGGGTTCAGTGTTGGGATTTGGGGGATTTTTAGGATTTTTGCTATTTTTGGCGGATCCGGGTCAGTTTTTCCCAAAACCATATTCCTGCTTTTCCCTTTATTCCTGAATTTTCCCACCCAGGCCAATCTGGGAATGCCAACACCTCCTGCTCATCCTGGGGGATGAACTCCCCCTCCTCCCTGTGCAGGGGACAGACAGGAGTGATCCCAAAAATCCTGGGAATGCTGAAGGGGGCTGGAGGGATTTATGGATTTTATTAGCGCTGATTTTAGCCCAAAATTAGAGCAGCTTAGTCCATCATCATCATCATCATCATCATTATCCCATCCTCATCCTCATCCCATCTGTATCCTTATCCTCCTCCTCATCCTCAGCCTCATCCCCATCCCCATCCCATCCCATCCCATCCCATCCCATCCCCAAACCCCTCTGGTTCTGGACCCCCCCAGCTCCCACTCCCAGGAATTCCATCCTATCCATCTTGCTAAGGATAATTCCCCCAGGATCCCCGGCCGCCGGAGCACCCCCAGGTCTTTCCCTGGAATGATTCCTTCAGAGCCGGGTGGGAACCAGGGCCTGGGATGTGGGGAAAGGCAAATACTGACAAATTAAATCCAGGGATTTTTAGGGAATGTCAGGGAAGCCCCCATGGCAGAGGGATTTGGAGTTCTGCTCGTGCCGCCCCCGGCATCGGTGGCTCCGGAGGGAGCTGGGATGGGGTGGGATGGGGTGGGATGTGGGACCGTGCAATGGGACACAGTGAGTGCTCCAAGCACAGGGCTGGGATCAGCCCTGGGATCGGGACCAGTGTCGGGATTGACCCTGGGATCAGGGTTGGGATTGGTGCTGGGATTGGAGTTGGGATCAGGCTGGGATTAGGATTGGGATCAGTGCTGGGATCAGGCTGGGATTGGGGCTGGGATCAGTGCTGGGATCAGGCTGGGATTAGGGCTGGGATTAGGACTGGGATCAGTGCTGGGATCAGGGCAGCACTGACCCACTGGGAATTCACAGCTCCAGCGGACAAAAAGCACTGGAACATGTGGGGGGGCCGGGGCAGTTTCCCGGCATTCCCGGAGGATCAGCAGCTCCTGCTGGATCAGCACAGCCTCGGAGGAGCCGAGGGGCACCCGGGGGTCCCCTGGGCCCTTCCCGGGCGCTCCGGGAGCCGCGATCCCGCCGGAGCATCCAGCACCCCCTGCTCCCCACGCTGCGGGGCCGGTTCGTCAGCGGCGGCTCCGGGCCCGTGAGTCAGCAGCAGCCGGAGCCGCCGGATAAAAATATCCCACGGCTGTGGGGGTGGGCAGGGACTCGGCTGCCGGCGGGAACGCGGCCGGGGCCACCGTGGGAACCGTGGGGACCCGTGCGGGGACCCGCAGCCGGAGCCAGGAATTGGCCTGGGCGGCATCCCGGCTTCCCACGGCCTCCCTGCCACGGCATTCCTGCCCTGCATCCCGACTCCTGCCCTGCATTCATCCCCAATTCCCGCCCTCCATCCCTGACTCCTGCCCTGCACCCCCGACTCCTGCCCTCCATCCCCAATTCCTGCCCTCCATCACCAACTCCTGTCCTGCACCCCCAACTCCTGCCCTGCACCCCCAATTCCTGCCCTGCACCCCCAATTCCTGCCCTGCACCCCCGACTCCTGCCCTCCATCCCTGACTCCTGCCCTGCATCCCCTATTCCTGCCCTGCATCCCCAATTCCTGCCCTCCATCCCCAGATCCTGCCCTGCACCCCCAGCTCCACGTTCCTGGGCAGCAGCCCATCTTCCCACGGCCTCCCCACGACATTCCCGGGAAGCATCCTGGCTCCCACGTGTCCTCCCTGCCACAGCATTCCTGGGAAGCAGCTCGGGCTCCATCTGGCCTCCCTGCCACGGCGTTCCTGGGCAGGTGCAGCGCGGAGCCTCCGGAATGTGCCGAGGCAGCGGAGCGAAGCCCTTGGGATGCGGGTCAGCAATTCCCGGCAGCGCGAGATGCTGAGCAGGGAGGGGGACGACTGCAGTGTCCCCGTGTCCCTGTACTCCCGTGTCCCTGTTTCGCCATGTTCCTGTATCCCTGCACCCCTGCATCCCTGTGTCCTCGTGTCCCTGTTTCTCCACGTTCCTGTATCCCTACACCCCTGTAGGGATGTGTCCCTGTGTCCTCCTGTCCCTGTCCTCCTTTGTCCCTGTTTCTCCTCATTTCTGTATCCCTACACCCCTCTGTCCTCCTGTCCCTGTGTTTCCATATCCTCAGGTCCCTGTATTCCCATGTCCTTGCATCCCTGTGCCCCTGTGCCCCTGCATTCCCACACCCCCGTTTCTCCCTATTCCCATGTCCCTGTGTCCCTGCACCCCCATGTCCCACATCCCCGTGTCCCTGCATTCCCGTGTCCCCACAGCCGGCACCACCTGCAGCTGCTGCCACATCTGGATCCACACCCACATTTGGATCCACGCCCACATCTGGATCCACCCCTGCACCTGGGTCTACAGCCACATCTGCACCCATGGCAACACCTGGATCCAGGGCCACAGCTGCCACCCTGCCCACACCCGGACCTGCAGCCACATCTGCATCCACAAACCACATCTGTATCCCTGCCCACAGCTGCATCCATGTCAGCATCTGCATCCCTGCCCACATCTGGATCCATGCCCAAAACTGCAGCTGTGCCCACATCTGCATCAACCGTGTCTGCAGCCACGGCCACATCTGGATCCATAAATCCCATCTGGATCCATAATTCCCATCTCTATCCATGCCCACATCTGCGCCAGTGCCAACATCTGGATGGGAGCATCAGTCCCTAAACTTTGGCTCAGCAGGACCATGACAGTCGGCGGGGGGGAAGGATCCGGTATCCACCTCGGAATTGTGAATCACACAAAAATTACCCAAAATGGGCCCCGAGCTCCGGAGCTGCAATCAGGGAAATCACAGGAGTTCCAGGGAATTTTAATATTCGGAGACGTTACCGGGAACAGGTTCAAACAGGGGGATCCATCCAGAATCCAACCCCACATCCATCCTGCACCTGCCCAGGGCACTCTCAGTGCCCCCTGGGATCTCCTGGAGTCTCCTGGAGTCTCCTGGGACCCCATCGTGACACCTTGGATCTCTCAGAAGTACCTGGGATCTCTCCATATCCCACAGGATACTCCTGGTATCCCCAGGATCTCTGGGTATAGCTCACCCTCCGGTCCCTCACAGCTGCTGCCCTCAGATCCCCCCGGATCCCCCCGGATCCTGGATCCCCCCGGATCCCCCCGACGCCCGGCTCCGGCCGTACCTCCCTCTGCATCACGAGCTCCTTGGTGAAGAGCGTGGCCTCCTCGCTGAAGGGCTCCCCCTCCTGCGCCAGCCCCGGCACGTTCCGGGCTCCCCGCGGGCACTCGATACCTGCGGGAAAACCGGGCAGCGTCAGGGCACCTGGGAACGGCACCTGGGAACGGCACCTGGGAATGGCAACCTGGGATGGCAACCTGGGAATGGCATCATGGGAATGGCACCTGGGAATGGCACCTGGGAACGGCACCTGGGAATGGCACCTGGGAACGGCACCTGGGAATGGCACCCTGGGAATGGCACCATGAGAATGGCATCCTGGGAATGGCACCATGGGAATGGCACCTGGGAATGGCACCTGGGAATGGCACCTGGGAATGGCACCTGGGAATGGCACCATGAGAATGGCATCCTGGGAATGGCACCTGGGAATGGCACCCTGGGAATGGCACCTGGGTATGGCATCCTGGGAATGGCAGCCTGGGAATGGCACCTGGGAATGGCACCTGAGAATGGCAGCCTGGGAAGGGCTGGGAGCGAAGGGGACACTGGAAACAAGGGAGGTGTGGGGAGCTCCGGGATGGTCTAGGGGTGGCATGGCTGGGGGACAGGCTGGGACAGGCTGGGACCAGCAGGGATGGGGACACAGGGAAAACAGGGATAGGGACATGGGGACAAACAGGGATGGGGACAGAGGGACAAAGGGATGGGGACACAGGGACACATGCAGGCCCCCACCCAGACCCCTCTGTCACAGCCGCTCCCCTGCCCCCGGGATCCCCCTGCCCTGGCTCAGAGCAGAGGGAAGTCCTGCAGTATTAATAATCATTTACATAATTTGCATAATGAATGAAGTGCTGGGAATACAGCTCCAAGCTGGAGCCACGAGTGAGGAGGTGCCACATCCCCAAGGCCACGTCAGTGTCACCAACACCCAGGGACACAAGGACACAGATCCTGCCTGGAGCAGCTGGGAGTGCCCAGAGCCCACCCTGAGGGACAATGTCCCTGTGCCACCAGGCCCCTCCCCATCCTCATCCTCATCCTCATCCCCATCCCCATCCTCATCCTCATCCCCCCCTCATCCCTGGCCCTGTTATATCCCCATCCCATCCCACTCATCCCAGTCCCCATTCCCAGGCCGTGCTGCCTCCAAGGGAAGCCATTTCCAGGGAATCCAGCAGGAGCTTCCCAGCCCTGTCCCTGGCCTTCACGGCACACGCATCCTCCGTCCCCAAAAATGGGGACGGAAAGGGGGATTTTTGGAAAAGGGGAATTCTGGGAAACACGGCAGAATGTGGGATGGGGAGCAGGAAATCCTGGGATCTTTGTTCATGATTTGGAGCCGTCAGGCACCCCCAAGACCTGGGATCACCCCAGGATTCTCCTTCCAGCACTGGGTGGGCTCTGGCACGGCTCTGATCCCAACCCTGGCTCTGATCCTGACCCAGCACTGATCCCAAATTTCTCCAGCAAGGAGCATCCCCCAGTGCCGCACTGGGAATGGGAATGAGGGGCTGGAGCTGCCCTTCCTCCTCCATGGAAGGGGCCAGGAAGGCTCATGGCCCACAATGGAATTTTTCCCCTCCAAGTAACAAGGGAAGAGCTGAGGAAGCAGCAGAATCCTTAAACTCCGCCAGCTCCCGGCTGCTCCGGGCTGGGATCCCGCTCCGGATCCTCTCCGGCCTCCGGCGCTTCCCAGGCCCACCTGAGGGAAGGTTCTGGAAAAGGGAAAGCTCCAAAGGCCGGGCTGGGCACTCTCATCCCCCAGGAATGCTGGCGGGAGCGGGGAGGGGACGCTTGGCACCCGGAAAAGTTCTCCAGCACTTTAAAAATAGCAGCTAATCCCGAATCCGCGGCTGTGCCGCGCTTCCCGGGAAGCCGTGACGGATTAATGAGGGATGCGGCTGCAAGTGCTGCAGCCACCGCGCTCCCCTGGGCTTCCCAGAGAGTTCCAGCACAATCCTGCCCAGCCAGGGCCCGGGCTGGGATGGAGGGGGCAGCCGTGGGGCTGCTCCCATCCCGGAATCAGCCCGCAGGGATGGGGGCGAGAATTCCGCAGCATCCCGGGGTACCCTGCGGCATCCTGAGCATCCCGAGGTATCCCTCAGCATCCCATGGACATTCCAGAGCATTCCTGGTACCCCGCAGCAGCCCTGGGATATCCTAAAGCATCCCAAGGCATCCCGGGGCATTCCACAGCATCCCAGAGTATCCCACAGCATTCCTGCAGGATCCTGCACCAGGATTCCAGGAGGAATTCCTCCCCAGCCCTCAGTGGGAACAGACAGAACAGATCTTTCAGGGAGAATCCCTTGGAGCAAGGACCCTTCCAGTCTTGATTCCAGGGATTTGAGCACTTTGCCCCCTCGCTGTGCCAGAGCCACAGCCGGGCCGGGATCTGGGATGGCTCCGGGCCGGGATCGGCTGTGCCGGGGCCGAGCGCCAGGGATTGATCTCCCGCAGGATTTATGGATTCTGGGAGCAGGGGAGGTGAGCTACAGGGAGGGGACACCCGGGAAGTGGGGCTGGAACGCCGAGGATCCGCTCCAGATCCTGGCAGGAGCAGCACTGGGACAGCCCCAGGTTGGGAATGCTCACACGGAAAAACTCCAGATTCCCATCCCCGCCTCCCAATCCCGCAGCTCCCAGGGAAAATTTTGGACCCCTTGGAGCCACTTGGCCACTCCAACATCCCCAGAGTTGCCCCCTCATCCCTCGGGAATTCTCCTGCTCCTAGCCCCCGCTCCGGGAAGGCGTCAGGCTCCGGAGTTTTGCCGGGAGAGAGGAATTCGGGATTAAACCGGCGCCTGTATTTGCACATATTTATAGTGCTCTGACGGATCTATTTTAGCTGGAAAGCCGGGATGAGCTCCCTCGGGAGCATCCCTGGAGTCACATTTTAAGGGACTTGGCATCTCTTTCTGGTGCTCATTTGCATTTGATATCCATAAAAAAGGCAGGCGTTGATAAAAGGCGGATATTTATCCTATTCCTGGCTTGGCAGAGGAGGGTTGGGAATGGCACCGAAGAAATCCAACAAAAAACAGGGAAAATAAAAGCCAGAAGGTCCCGCCAGGATCATGGGATTCTATGGGATGGGATGGTCTTGGGGATCCATCCCTTCTTGAACAGAGCAGGGTGGAGCAGGATTCCCAATGGAGCAGGAATTCCCGTGGAGCAGGACCATGGAGCAAGAATGCCAATGGAGCAGGGATTCCTGTGGCTCAGGGACCTCCAAAGAGGAGAACCATGGAGCAGGGATGCCCATGGAGCAGGGCTCCCACTCCCCTGTGGAGCAGGGATTGCAGCACCAGGGATCCCAGCACCACTGGGAGCAGGGAGGGAGCCCCCACTTCCCAAAGGCCCATCCCGGTGCCGGTGTCCACGGGGGACAGAGACAGGACACATTCCCAACTCCGGGAGCAAAGGGATGGACAAAGAACCACTGACTCCATCCCTGCTCCCCTCAGGAAAAACATTCCCTGTGAGGGAGCCACTCCCACCTTTCCCAGTGTTTGATCCTGGAACTGGATCCTTGAAACTCCAACAGAATTCTTCCCCATCCTCATCTCCATCCTCATCCTCACCCTATCCTCATGCCATTCCCATCTTCATCCCCACTCTCATTCTCATCCTCATCCTATCACCACTCCCACCCCCATTCCCATCCTCCTCCCCATCCTGCTCCTCATTCCCAATCCATCCTATCCCCATCCATATCCCCATCCCCATCCCCGTGTTCCCTCCCTTCTCCCCACTTTGTGCTTCCCTACCTGCTCCCAAGTTTTTTGGGTGGGATCACCCTTCCCAATCCCAACCTCGCCCACCTCTCCCAGCCTGACCCGAGGCAGCTCCAGCGTTAATTCCGACCCTTCATCCCGGGATGCCCCAGTCCAGGGAATGTTCTGCTGCTGATCCCGGAACCCAGCTGCACCGATCCTGGGATCCCAAGGTGCCAATCCCAGGAACCCCACAGTGCTGATCCTGGAACCCCCCGGTGCCAATCCCGGGATCCCAAGGTGCCAATCCCAGGAACCCCACAGTGCTGATCCTGGAACCCCCCGGTGCCAATCCCGGGATCCCAAGGTGCCAATCCCAGGAACCCCACAGTGCTGATCCTGGAACCCGGCGGTGCCAATCCTGGAATCCCATGGTGCTGATCCCAGAACCCCGCGGTGCCGATCCCGGGATCCCAAGGTGCCAGTCCCAGGAACTCCATGGGGCTGATCTCAGAACCCCACAGTGCTGATCCTGGGAACCCCACGGTGCCAATCCTGGAATCCCGCGGTGCCAATCCCGGGATCCCAAGGTGCCAATCCCAGGAACCCCACAGTGCTGATCTCAGAACCCCACAGTGCTGATCCTGGGAACCCCATGGTGCCAGTCCTGGAACCCCATGGTGCTGATCCTGGAACCCCACGGTGCCAATCCCGGGATCCCAAGGTGCCAATCCCAGGAACCCTACGGTGCTGATCTCAGAACCCCGCAGTGCTGATCCCAGAACCCTGCAGTGCCAATCCCGGGATCCCACAGCACAGATCCCAAAACCCCACAGTGTTGATCCCGGAAGCCCATGGTGCCGATCCTGGAACCCTGCTGTGCCAATCCCGGGATCCCAAGGTGCCAATCCCAGGAACCCCACGGTGCCAATCCCAGGATCCCAAGGTGCCAGTCCCAGGAACTCCATGGGGCTGATCTCAGAACCCCACAGTGCTGATCCTGGGAACCCCACGGTGCCGATCCTGGAACCCCGCGGTGCCAATCCCGGGATCCCAAGGTGCCAATCCCAGGAACCCCACAGTGCTGATCTCAGAACCCCACAGTGCTGATCCTGGGAACCCCATGGTGCCAATCCTGGAACCCCACGGTGCTGATCTCAGAACCCCACAGTGCTGATCCCGGAACCCGGCAGTGCCAATCCCAGAACCCCACAGCACCGACCCTGGGATCCCACAGTGCTGATCCCGGAACCCCACGGTGCCGATCCCGGGATCCCAAGGTGCCAGTCCCAGGAACTCCATGGGGCTGATCTCAGAACCCCACAGTGCTGATCCTGGGAACCCCACGGTGCCAATCCTGGAACCCCACGGTGCCAATCCTGGAACCCCGTGGCACCGATCCCGGGATCCCAAGGTGCCAATCCTGGAACCCCGCGGTGCCGATCCCGGGAACCCCACGGTGCCGATCCCGGAACCCCGCAGCAGCGATCCTGGGATCCCACAGCACGGACGCCGGCGATCCCAGAACCCGGCGGCGCCGGTCCCGGCTCACCTGCGAGCAGGAAGGTGATCAGGCAGGTTTCCTTGGGCAGGAAGAGCTTCAGGCGGGAGCCGCTGAACACGTATTCCACCACGGCCTCGGAGCGGCCGGCGCGCTGCAGGAACGGCAGGAACTGCTTCGCCTTCTGCGTGTCCTGCGGGAAAACGGGAATTCAGGGCGTTCCCTGGAATCCTGACCTGCGGGGACCGCTCCTTGTCCCCTGTGCGGCTGGGGTGTGACATTTGGGCACGGAGCTGAGCGCTTCCAGCTCGGGATGGGCCCTGCACCCCAAACACGGCCCAAATCTATCCCAAAATCCCAAACACATCCCAAATCACATCTCAAAATACATCCAAAAATCCCTAATACATCCCAAAACAAATCCAAAATCACATCTCAAAATACATCCAAAAATCCCTAATGCATCCCAAAACAAATCCCTAATACATCCCAAAACACATCCCAAATATATCCCAAATCCATCCCAAAATCACAAAAGTACTCTAAATCACATCCCAAATCACATATCAAAATACACCCAAAAATCCCAAATACATCCCAAAACAAATCCCTAACACATCCCAAATATATCCCAAAATGCATCCCAAATGCATCCCAAAAATATCCCAAAACACATCCCAAACATATCTCAAAATGCATCCAAAAATCCCAAACCCATCCCAAAATCCCAAAAATATCCCACAACACATCCCAAATACATCTCAAAACACATCCAAAAATCCCAAACAGATCCCAAAATAAATCCTAGATATATCCCAAAACACATCCCCAATCCTGCCAAAACACATCCAAAATTCATCCCTAAACCCATCCCCAAATCCATCCAAAATCCATCCCAAAACCCCAAATCCATCCCAAATCCGCCCCAAAGCCCATCCTTCCCCTCCCCACAGGGCAGCTGCCTGGATCAGCAGGACAGATCCAGCCCCATTTCCCCATTTCCCCCATCCCTAATGGAGCATCCCATCACTCCCCTTTCCCGGGATCCACCCCTCCCCACCCCAACACCGAAGGGCTCAAAAAAAATCCTTGAAAATGTCAATTAATTGAGGACAAGCTAACGAGCTCTGCTGGGAGGTGTGGGGATCCCCAGATTCCCTCAGCAGAGCCGGGCAATCCCGGATTCCCACTGGCATTCCAGTGTTGGCTCCTGCCAGCTGGTTCCCAGGCTAGGGGGCAGCTCCCGGTTTATTTATCCAAGGGAAAAAGGGGAAAACCCCACAGCAGCTCCCAAAACAACGGCGTGTGGGTTTCATCCCGCTGGATCCCCTGCGGAATTCCCGCCCATCCCGGGCCCCGAGGGGATCCTCACCCCGGAGATGTCGGCCACCCTGTGGATCGGCACCTCCTTCTTGCTGTGCAGCCCCTTCCCGTTCTTGATGGCCCTGGAGAGCGGAGGGAGCGCCGGGAATCAGCTCCTGCCGCAGCAGGAGGAGCTGCAGCCTCCCCTGGGCCCGGGGGACACCCAGACGGAGCATCCCAGCCCTGGAGTGAGGGCTTCCCAGGAGCCGGGATGGGGAATGCCGCACACGGAGCGCACTGAACGCAGGGAAAAGCAGCGGGAGGCTGGAGCTGCTGCCAGACCCACACCCGCATCCCTGTCTCGGCACAGGGATGCAGGGCTGGGACGTTCCCCTGGGATCTTCCCAAAGGATGCTCCCTCAGGATGAGGCCACCAAGCTCCCTGTCCCCACCTGGAGTGTCCCCTCCTGCTCCAGGGCCTGGCCTGGAGGGTTGGGAAAGGCCGGAGTGTGCCGGGATTCTGGCAGAGCCAATGGTGTGGGATGTGATTCCAGGCTCTCTGAAGAGCTGGGAATGCTGAATGGATCCCCCAGATTGCTCCAGGCCCTGCACCACAACCTCATCCCAAATCCCAGAGCATCCCATTCCTGCTGCTCCTGGCATTGTCCCAGACCTCCCAGCTCCTCTGCCTGCTGCCAGCACGATCCCAGATTTGGGATGTGCCAAAGCTCCCAATGGCACGGATGAGCCTCCTCTGGGATCAGGCAGGAACATCCAGCTCCTCCACCTGGGGATGTTCAGACTGAACCCCAGCCCTGGAGTGTGGCTCTGGCTCCAGGTGTCACATCCCAGCCCCGTATCCAGCTCCAGGTGTGACATCCCAGCCCCGTATCCAGCCCCAGGTGTGACATCCCAGCCCCGTATCCAGCCCCAGGTGTCACATCCCAGCCCCGTATGCAGCTCCAGGTGTCACATCCCAGCCCCGTATCCAGCTCCAGGTGCCAGATCCCAGCCCCGTATCCAGCCCCAGGTGTCACATCCCAGCCCCGTATCCAGCTCCAGGTGCCAGATCCCAGCCCTGTATCCCGGTATCCCGGTGCCCCCTCCGCAGCTCTGAGCTGCTGACTTCCTGCCAGGCTTCCCAAAAGGCACATTCCAGGCGTTGGGAAGGAGCCTCCGAGCAATCTGCCGGCCGCCCACCGCCCGGGCACGGCTGGGTGGAACGGGAGCAGCTTTCTCCGGATCGATCCGCCTTTTCCCGCAGCAGCCAGCGTGCCCGGGAAGGCGCCGCAGCCCCCTCCAAGCTGCTCTCCCGGCTCTCGGCATCGTGCCGGGATCTGCTGCCAGGGAGGAGCTGAGATCCCACCATTCCCGCCGGGCTCAGCCGCCACGGAGCCGCCTCCGGAGGGAGCGGGGCCGGGCAGGGAAGGGTGTCCATCGCCATTCCAGGGCCAGCAGGAGCGTGGGATGAGGGACGGGGACATGGGGAGAGCTCCCAGGGGTGGGAACAGCAATCCCTGTGGGCATGGGGGTCACCGGGATACGGGATCCCCGCGGGATCCTCTGCGTGGGGCTGAGCACACCTGGGTCTCGTGTACCTGAGCCGCGGCTGGGGACACACGGGCGCCCAGGGGACACGGCTGGGACGGACAGAGGGACACGGGCAGCGCTGCGCGGGAATCTCCTCGAGCGGCGGGGACGGGGCAGGGGACACGGGACACAGGATGTGGCAGGGAGAGCACAGGGGAGCCGGCACAGCCCCCGGCTGCCCCGGCCCCGCGCTCACCGGGCCTCGGCCGCCAGCAGCTCGTCGTAGTGCGCCGAGCGCTGGTCGTCGTCCTGCCGGTAGCGCAGCACCGTGGCCAGGCCCTTGCTGACCAGCGCCTCCGCGATGTTGCTGCGGGAACGGGGCCGGATCGGGGCGGGACCGGGGCCAGGGAGACCCCAGGCCCATCCCATCCCATCCCATCCCACCCCAGGCCCATCCCATCTCACCCCAATCCCATCCCATCCCAGACCCATCCCATCCCACCCCAATCCCATCCCATGGATCCCATCCCATGGATCCCAATCCCAATCCCAGCCCATCCCATACCACCTGGAAGCGCTCGTAGGAGGGGTCTCCGGGCTTGGGCGGGTCCATGACCATGGATCCCAATCCCATGGATCCCAATCCCAATCCCACGGATCCCAATCCCACGGATCCCAATCCCAATCCCATCCCATTCCATACCGCCTGGAAGCGCTCGTAGGAGGGGTCTCCGGGCTTGGGCGGGTCCATGACCACGTCCAGGACCATCTGTCCGGGCACGGGCGGGCACAGACGCACGGACACGAGCTTGGCCAGCTCCGCCTTCACCTCGGGGTGCAGGTTCACCACCTCCATGTAGCCGCCCCGCAGCCCGCACCTGCCGGCAGCCGGGATCGGGATCGGGA